TTTCATTAACCCTTTGCTAGTCCCTTCCCCTCAGTTATTTCAATCTGAAGATATCCACACTTTAGATTTCTGACATATATCTAATGTTGTGACCACATCTTCGTAGGACATAGGCAAACTTTTCTTAAGCAAACAGACAGAATTTTCAGTAAATAGTTTTGGGAAAACTGAATCTCCATATTCAGATAGAATAAAATGTCCTTTTCTTATAGCAAATGCAGAAGCCAACTCAAAGTAGATAAATATCCAAAGCTAAGACTTTAAGCATAACCCCTGGAAGAAAACACTGTAGAAAGCTTCTTGATAACTGGTCTTATCAATGAGTTTTTGGACATAACCTCAGAAGGCAGACAAGAAAAGAAAACCAAGTGGGAGAAAATAGAACTAATCAAATGGAAAAGCTTCTGTACAAAAAAAGAAATAATGAACAGAATGACAATTCAGCCTATAAGCTGGAAGATGATATTTGCTGACCACATATCTGATAGGCTAATATTCAAAGTATATAAGGAATTCGAGAACTCAACAGCATGCAAGCCCTACTAAGACTGGGCAGAACACAAAAACAAACATTCCTCAAGACCAGATATATAAAGAAGCCAAGAGGTAAGTGACAGCGCACTGTGTCATGAATTATCAAGCAAATGCAAACCAAAGCCACACTGTCAGCATGGCCTGTAGGAAGAAGATAGAGCTGACAAACGTGGAGAAATGAAAGGGAGAGGGAAACCTCCTCCAGTGTGGAAAAATACAGAAGTCCCTAAAGGAAAGATAAAGACACAGAGCGACCGTATGGCCTATGGATCCCGCTTCTGGACTGGAACCAAAAGAATGAGCACGCAGTAAAAATCTTGATGAGTAAGACACGGAAACAACCTGATAGCTACCAAAAGAAGAGCGGATAAAGCAGATGTGCTGCGACTACACAAGGGAATAGTATTCTGCTTTTTAAAAATAGTATACAACTCTGCTGGCTGTGACAATACAGATGAACCTGTGATGGTATTTTAAGTGAAATAGCCTAGGCAAAGAAAGACCTAACATGATAAGTGAACTCTCAGAAGCAGGACATGGAGTGGTGTCTACCATTGGTTGGGGGGAAGAGACAGGGCAGGGAGAATTTTGGGGAGAAGTACAAAGGATACAGAGTTTCACTTAAATAAGAGTTCAGGAGATCTAGGACACAAAGTGGTGATTACAGTTAATAACAATATATTATGCACTTAGAAGTTATTGACAGTAGAGTTTTAAGCATACTAATCAGGAAACATAATAAACATGTTGAGACGAGGCATACGTTAACTCAATTTGGCTATACCAAAATGTATACATATTTTAAAGCTCCGTGTTGTGGACCAAGAATATAATCACTCTTACCTGTCATTTAAAATAGTTAAAAATTCACATGCTGGAGTTTTAACACACATCTAACATGGCTGAAACTGTATTTGGGTAAAAGAAAACTCTTGTTGGTCTTGACAACTATGTACTAGAAGTTTAGCAAAATTTTAAGTTGACAAGAATTTCTCACTTCTCTTTTCATCCTTGCTTACCACAAACTACATCTCTCGGTCATTTCCTCCTTCTGCTAGCCAACTTCTTGGCCAGCCTTAGGTTTTCAGAACTTGATATAGTGCAGAATTTCATGGTTTGAAAACTTGATTATTTAAATTTTCTCAGACAAAGGGATTTAGGTTGTCTGAAAAGTTCAACTTTGATGCTTCAAAAACTTATACACGACACAAAGAAGTTTGAAATTTTGTATCCAACCTCTGAACATGATCCACATTCTCAAAAGCAGACCATCTCTGCATTCCTATCACATTAAACAGTCAGAGGACGCCATCCCCAACACTCAGATCACCATTCCATGATGAGATTGAAAGCAAGGTAATGTGTCAATTGAAGGTTTATTTTGCAGGAAGAGTCAATCCAAACACGAAGTTAAACTCAAGGATGAGTTCTGTTCAGTTGGACTCTCTTTGGTTTTGTACTGTCATTACAGTTGGCTAAAACTGTGCAAAGAGCCAAGCATTCGGAAAGCTTTTAGGAAATAGTGTTCTGCAACTGTGTTCTGCTAAAGCACCATGACTAACAATGACAGGAAATATGACTCAGGCTCCAAGTCACTCTCTGCCTCCTACTTGGTCTGGGGACTCTAAGACACACAATCACCTCAGCTTGGTGGCCACCTTGCTCCCACCCAGTGAAATTGGTCTCATAGCATTGAGTGTAGGATGCCATTGTTGAATCAAATCCCGAACATTCACAGACAAGATGGGGGGATGTCAACGTTGAGGTGGAAAGAAGAAAGCAGAGAAGGAATCTACTGAAGCCAGCTAGGTTTTCAGGTATTCTGCCTGGCTTTTCATTCTAATCACAGCACTTATTCTCTTTTAGATCTGCTTGGCACAACATTCCATCTTTCTAGATTTTATCATTTACAGAAATCTTGTCATTTGGCATCGTGTCATCCAGTGAGGGCAACTTAAGATAGTACTGATCTGATTGTTCATTTGCAGCCACTCTGTTCAACTCTAAGCTCAGCTCATTGAATATCTCCCAGGATGACAAGCATTCCTCTCACAGGCAGACTCTTTGAGGCTCCACAGAGACCATCACTGACATTATTTTCACTGCTCTTCTAGATTACAAGCAAATGAAAAATATTTCTCGTAGGAGGTCCCAGGACCTTTGACAAAGATTGGATCTCAATTTGGTTTTGGGACTAAAACAATTGAGTCATCAAGTTATTATAGAAGTATCTATTTGTTTCCTTTCTCAATTTATTGATTTACATCCTACCTGCTTTAATGTTAAATTAAGGATTAGAATATAATTTCCCACACACAGCATTCAGGGGTGGAGTTAATTCCATAAGATTAACTCAGACTAGGTAATTATACACAATGCCAGACCACTAGTCAATATTTCCCTGGACTCTAAAAAATCAGAGGACAGCACTCCCCCTGGGCATGTGTATGGCCTGAAATGAAAAGTATCTTTGGATTTTGAATACAAGCTCCCATGCTCACTAGCTATGGATCCTCGCTAGTTAGTTACTCTTCTCAGTGTCATAAGAACCCCCTTTAAGGGGAGCTCTTGAATCCCAGACTGATGGCTGAGAGGCCAACAGGGGACTGATCCAGACTCATGAATGTAGTGTCAGTGAGGAGGCCACAGAAATCACTGGGGCCTTGAGTAGTAGATCAGTGTTTACCATGGTGTATGAATGATCTTTGGAAGCCCATTCCAAATAGAGGGATGCTCTCTCAGCCTGGACACATGGGAAGGGCCTAGGTCCTGCCCTGGATGAAATGACAGACTTTGGAGATCCCCCAAGGAGGGTCTCACCCTCCCTGGGGAATGATGTGGGGATTGGATGGGGGGCTGGGGGGCTGGTGGAGGGACAAGGGAGGAGGGGTGGGAGAGGGAACTGGGATTGACATGTGAAACATTCATGTTTCTAGTTTAAATAAAAACATATACTGAGAAAAAAAGAACCCCCTTTAAAAAGCCATAGCTCACAGCAGACATTAGTGCACAGTAAAGAGTGGGTACATATGTCTATTAGTTTGAAAACTCCTAGAGAACAAACAAATATGTTTTTCTTTGTAGAAACACTGCTTATCACAAGTGCACCTATCTAAAAAATTTTAGATGAACAAATTTTTGTTGAGGGGGACATAACTATATTTGTTTACACTCCCATGTACATCTTTTAAAAGTGTTTAGCAAGAAATTTTACATGGGAGACGGTATCTTAATTCCTATCTTGCAGTGTGTCCATTGCTCTTTTAAGGGTGAGGGAGAGAAAAGGGGGCAGGGAGAGAATGGGAATCATTATTTTCATTAATGTTTTCTATAGATATTTCTAGAGACACCAATTTTTAGAATTCTTCTTTTGAAAGTATAATATTATTGCATAATTTCCTCCTTCCCTTTAAGAATGTCCAAACACTCCCCCTTACTTATTCTCAAATTCATGAGTTTGAGTTACATATAGATATTGTTACATATAGATATATGTATAGATGTACATACATCTATATATATTTATATATTACTATATGTATCTATACATACATACTTGTACATAAACTTTGTGCTTTTTTTCTTTTTATCAATCTATTTTACTAGATGTATGTCTGTTTTATTACTTGTATTGCACCTTTCCCATTTTACCAATCAATTTCACTAGATATTTATTCCATTAGTTGTTTCAATGTATCACTTTTTATAGCTAGTTGTCAAGTATTATTAAATAATACTATAGTATTTTAAGTCATATTTACTGTATAAAAAGAGTTGAAATGATAATTTTTGGTTGTATAAACTTCTAGGAAAAGTTTCTTTATGTGTTTCAATGGCATTACAATGAAGTTATATGCAATGCACAGCAATTCTTCACATTTCATGAATAATTCATGTATGATTAAGGACCTTCATTTCTACTCAAGAGTCATTGTTTTGCTTCATTTTATATTCTCGTGTTGGTAGAATTTCAATACTCTTGCCACTTGCTAAAAACATATAAATTACATAGAGTTCATATCTAAGGTAAAATTTCTAGTAAAGTTCATATTTTTGTTTTAGAAAATAATCTTTAGAGTTTCTTGCATTTGTCAGATGAAATTCAGCAGAGATGCCCATAGTTACTGGAGACCAATTATGAACAACAATGTCACCAGTATGAACAGGTACACACCTTCCCTTCCACGCAGTTTCAGAGTTGAGTATGAACACAGGGTATTCATGCTCTGTCCAAAGCTGATTAATTTTGTCAGCACCAACTATAGCAGTTCTCCCATTACGTTTCTGTCCTCAGTTTCTCCCAGGGCAGCTGCTAAGAAGCTTAAAACCTGTCTGATCGTATTCTCTCTGTTCTGTGAATCCAGCCTTCATTTTTAGCCAGGAAAGTACTTCTCACTAATTACAAGGAAAAGAAAAACTAGGGCAGCTTGGAAAATTGGACACAACTTACTGTTTTACAGATAATAAATATGAAGCCTCGAAACTCTCCCTCCTCAAGTTTGGACCAAGCATGACGACTTCCTGACAGAGTACAATATCGAAAGTAAGGGGAAAGGACAACCTTCTGGAAGTGACTATAGCAACTCGATGACCCCACTGCAACCAGGCAATGCAGGTGAGCATCAATAGAGAAAAGACATGCTGATGGTAGGCATCCTTAGGAAGATGTGATGAGTGACATTTTATATGTCTCCTGCCCCCCCCAACCGTATACTCCTAGTCTAATCATGAGGAAACATTGTATATAACCCACTTGGGGGACATTTCTACAAAATCCCAGACCAGTAATTCTAAAAATGATGAGAGCCATTAAATCTGGAAAACTCTGAGGTTGTCAGACAAGAGGAGTCCAGACTGACTGTCCTTGCCAAGCTGCCAAAACAAAACTCCAGAGACTTGCTGAATTAACCAACCAATAGTTCTTTCTCATGGATTTGGAAGGTAAAAAGTTAAAATCCAGATACAAGGATGTTTTTTCTTGTAGATGGTCCACATCTTTGCTTGTAACCTCTGTCCTCCACACTCATGTACTGGGGAAAATCCAGTTCTGCTTGTTATTTCTCTTCTTGTATGAACACAAATCTCATGGAGGTCTTACCCTCATGGCCTCATATGAAGCTAATTATCCACCAAAGACCTCATCTCTAAATATTGTAACATTAAAAATTATTATGTGTGTGGGTATGTGCATGTGAGTACAGGTCCCCTCAGAGGCCAGAGACATTGGATTCCCATGAAGCTGAGGTTACAGGCAATTGTGGACCACCCATCACGGATGCTGGTAATCAGACTCAGGTCATAGGAATCAAACTCAGATTTGAATAGTAGAGACTCTTAACTCACTCCAGTCCTATGCCACCATATTTTCTTTTGGGTCTTCAACATAAATTTGGCAAGGACACATTCAGTCCATAACAATGACAAAAATTTAAAATTGTTTTTTAGGTGGTATTTTATAATAGATAACGGTTACTGGATGAAAAATGTAGGAATCTAAGTACAGGCTATGAACAATATTAATGTATCAACATGGGTTACTGATTATAACAAATGTACAACACTAACATTAAAGAGTACATGACAAAAAGAAATTGGGAGCTGGGCGGTGGTGGCGCAGGTCTTTAATCCCAGCACTGGGGAGGCGGAGGCAGGCAGATCTCTGTGAGTTTGAGACCAACCTGGTGTACAAAGTTACACAGAGAAACCTTGTCTCAAAAAAAATAAAGGAAGGAAGGAAGGAAGGAAGGAAGAAAGAAAGAAAGAGAAGAGAAGAAGAAATTTCAGAAGAAGCCTTCTCTATGTATACCTTGATCTTGGAATTTTAGCCTCCCACACAGTGAAAAAAATATGCATCTGTTGCTTGGGGCTCCTAATCTATGTGCAGTTGTTATCGTTACAAACTAGAGTATAGGAAATGTGAGAAATATCTATGTTAACTTCCCAATTTTCCTCTTAAATCAAACATCCTAAAATAAAAAATACTTATCTTAAAGAAGTGAAATCTAATGAGGTTAAACAGGACAGTATATGAGCCAAGGACTCTGATTATCTGGCCATTTATCCTGTGTAAACTTTTGCTCATTTGTAAAATGAACATGCCCTACTTACTTCACAGGGTTAGTAATGTATTAGTGACACTAATGCAGGCAAAAGCAATTTAATCAAAGTATCTGTTACCATTAAATAGCTTGTGCAAGGCCCATAGTTTATGCAGAGACAGGTCAAATTATTTAGAACTCATGCCTTATTGGTGGAGTGCCCCATCTTATATCACCTACTCCAAAGCTCAGGAAACATTATAGAAGAGGGGACAGAAAAAATATAAGAGCCAGTGGATGAGAAGGCATGTGGCAAAATAAAGATATCTTTACCTGTGCAGGATTGAGCCCACCAATGTTAGTTTCATCATGGAAACATCCCCATAGTGAGAAATTATTGATCGCTAATGGTTGCTGAGAGAGTAGATATCAGTTTCCTCAGTGGTATAGCCACTAATAAATTACCCATAATGCATTAAATCTCCTACTCATGCACTTGCAAACAACCCAGAACTCAATGAATCACATACGAAGGCATGAAAGTGGGCAGAGACTTGTAGGGAAGAACAAAGATTTCAACCAAAGAGAGAAGGAGATAGGAGAGGGTATTGGAGGCTATATGTACTCAAATTCATTACATGAATGTATGAAACTGTCAAAGAGTAGAGATTTTAGACTTTTTTTTTTTGGTTTTACGATACAGGGTTTCTCTGTATTGTTTGGGAGGCTGTCGGTCCAGCCTGGCCTCGAACTCACAGAGATCTGCCTGCCTCTGCCTCCCGAGTGCTGGGATTAAAGGCGTGCGCCACCACCGCCTGGCAAGAGTAGAGATTTTAAAAGGAACTCTTGTCATCTCTTAGTACAGGCCTAGCACTCATTACTGGCCACATAACTAAAGACTTCTTTAACCCATGTTCCAGGGCCATAGGGGTCATAGTCTATTTGTAGGGGCAACCTGTTTTTCCTAGCCAGGCTGAGCCATTTAAAACTACAAGCACTTGCCATCAGTGGAGTCCTGCGCAAACAACACAGCATTGATGGTGGGTCAGGGTTACTCTTGTGTAAGAAGAAAACAGTTTTTATTCCCCCCTCCCCCGTTAAATATAATACTTCCAGTTAGTCTCCAGAGTATGGTGTCTAAAGCAATAGTCTGAGGTATAGAAAATATTAGAATATACTAATAATTTTGAAAATCTATACTCTCTGAATTTATGTTTTATGTGTTTATAATTTACAAAATACATGTAGTATCATTTAGTAATGTGTGCCTATACTAAATGCATATATAGACTTACAGTCTAAATTTCAGATTTAGAATGGAAACAAGCTTTAAAAGATCTGGAAACACAGCAAGGAGAACAAACACCAGAGTGAAGAGACGGCTTTCAAAATAGAAAAAAATGTTTGCCTAATACACATCAGACTGGAGATTAATAACCAAAATATATAAAGAACCACAAAACTTAAATAAGTATATAGAGACCACCAGAAACAAGTCATCCAATCAATGAATGTGCTGAATAGAAGAATGTTTTCAAAGGATGAAATAGAAATGGTCAAGACATACTTGAATAAGTACTTGACATCTTTAGAAACCAGGGAAATGCAAATTAGAACTATTTTGAGATTCCATCTCAGTCCATTGCAATGGCCACCATCAAGAACGGAAATGACAACAAATGTGGCCAGGATGTAGGGAAACAGGAGACTTTATTCGCTGATGTTAGGAATGTGAATTTGTATAACTACTCTAAAATCACTTCCTTGAAACCCAGAAAATGGAGCTTCCTACGTGATCCAGCTCTACCAGTTCTTGGGTATATACTCAAAATGAAACCAGCAAAGATTTCCACTGAAGTCTGGCAAATTCACAATAGAATTTTCTTCACCTCGAAAGAAAAATAAAATCATGACATTTGCAAGAAAACAGATGCAACCAAAAATCATTATGTTATGCAAAAAGGGGGGCTAGGCTCAGAAATATAAACACATTTGCCTTATATATGGAAACTAGGTTTAAAATTAGATATATGGGGTGGGGGCATCACAAAACTAGAAAGGGAATCATGAGAGGAGAGGATGGGATATTAATGGAGTGGGAAATAGAGAGGGCCATGGAATAATGAGAAAGCAGAAAAGAAGAAAAACTGGGAGAGGAACCAGCTAGAGAAAGGTTAAAGGTATGTGGGAGGCAGGGTGAAAGAGAATGAGAATAAAGTAAAAAATACGCATGGCTATGCCAAGATTAAATTAGTTTCTTTGTACGATAACTTCAACTATTCACATATGATTCAGAGATAATGTCACTAGAATTAATGAGAAATGAGTATAGCAGGTGGGCAAACAAGGATTCTTAGTATTTTCTCCTTTAATATAGAGGCAGAGACAAGAGCACATTTTACTTCAAGGACTGTTTTCAAACCCTGGGGCTCTTCTCCTTGCTATGAGTAATGTGTGTGAGTAACTTCATCTCTCTATCTCAGTTCCCTCATCCTTAAGGTAGAGGTCATTGCAGTGGCTGCTTCATCACTTAAGAGGGTAACAAGAAGAGTCCCCAGGATGGAAACATTCTTTACCAGAAAGTCATGTGTCTACAAAGGTTGTTTGCTGCAGATACAGATTTCTCCATGTCTACCATATCATGACTCCAAGAACCTCTCAGTCAAAGCAAATCAGAGAAAAGTGAGGTTCAGGCTACTATGTCAGAAGTCACTGAGGTGAGCTGACTGAAATGGTTGGTGCCATTTCTGTCAGTTAGGATCACTGTGACCAGAAAACAGAGTAGCTAGAGAGGCCCAAGAATGAGACACAATACCTCTATTGCCAATACAGTCTCATGAAAACACAGACTTTTTCCCCCCCTTTTAAAGATAAGATCTGTCTATGTAGCCCTGGCTAACCTGGAACTCACTACATAGACCAGACTGACTTTGAACACACAAGAGATTTGCCTGCCTATGTCTCCTGAGTGCTGGGATTAAAGGCATATATCACCACCCCTAGGGAAAAAACCACAGATTTCTATGAACTTGCTAATGTAAATATTTGCCTAATGAAAGGGAGGAGAAATAATTTGTGTAAATGGATAGAGGTGTAAATGTACCTGAAGTGTTAGGTGTGTTAGGTGTGGTGAGGATTTTGTTAATTGCTAATGTAAATACTAAGTCAGCAAGTCATACTTACTGTATTATGAACATCAGATGCCAACTAAATAGTCATAATTGTTTGAAGACTTGGTAGAACATGTACAGGGTGTAAGAATCACCTCATGGGGAGCATTTATTTTGTCAAATTATAGCTACTGCCCTTGGGAATTCCTATAAATTCTTCTAAAGTCACTGTTAGAAGCATAGGATTGGAAAGACTGGCTGGAGTAGCTTTATTCCAGGTTAATTTTTTATATAGTAAATTGTAACCCATTGCTAGATTATAAAACCAACTGAGCCTATCATGAAGATCACTTAGAAAAATAAAGCAACATGAGGCATAAGATAAAAATATATTTTGTACTGTGGCTAAAAGTGTCAAGCAGCCAGTCTACAGGTTTGATGGACACTCTGACTAAAGCTGTGATTAG